CATCCAACCTCCTGGCAGGAACTGCAGATTTAGTCAATAACACTCAAATCTTGAAAAAATAAGCCAGCGTGGTGGAGGGGATTTGGAGAAAGATAGTAAAGAGAGGAACGCCAGAAGTAAGCGAGGCAGGGCAGAAGGGAGTGGAAGACAGGATCCAGGGCAGGCTAAGGAGAGATGCCTGGGAGATGTTGCTGACGTTGCTCCTGGGGGCTGCCACAAGCAGACGTCTAAGTACTGAGACACAGAAGTCCGTGAGCCTTCTCAGGCCCCCTTTCTCCCTACGTCTCCCAGACTTCCGCTCATCCTCCCTCACCCTCCCTGGCTCCTGTGATCCTCAACCCCTCCGAATGCAAACCTGATATATCAGAGATCCTGTATCGGAGGGAGCTTGGGATCCTGAGGGAGGCGGGGTGAGGGGAGATCCTGAGCTGGGCGCACGGAGTGGCTGCTCAGTGGCTCCAGGGTGTCCTAGCTGGTGAAGAAGGGAGCAGAAGGGCTGGGAAGTGCTGAGGGGCGGAGCCAGCTAGGGGAGGGAGACCACACAGAAAAGGAACTGGAATTCTAGGACGTTGAGGTGAACGTGACCTCTCGTTAAGTCCCCGCAATGCAAGGACCCCTGCTTCTGGATTGAGACCTGCATAGCACTGCCATGACCCAGACGCCCCAAACTAACCACAGGTGAGTTCATGTCACTGAGAGTGTATACAATACCTCTTCAGGGGGACCCAGAAATGTCTCCAGCTCACCTACAGTATTCATTCTTACCAGGTGCAGCCTCTTGAACTCAGAGTAACCAAGGAGAGAGTTGCTTGGGGACAAAGGTGAGAACAACTATTCAGATTTGGGGATCTGAAGCTCTCTAACCCGCCCAGACCGCTCCAACACAACTAGCATCAGAATTACTTAATGTGATTCCTGACAATGCAGATCCCTGAGCCCCCTCTCCCCCTGGCAGTTTATTAACTCAGAGACTGCTGGGGCGGGGAGGACAAGACTCCCTGTTCTAACCAGCTGCCTCAATGACACTAATCAGGCTGAAGACTGAGACTTTCTGCCTCTCACTCCTACCCTAGTACCTAGTTTCCTGTCCTCTCTCCCTACCCAGCTGCAAAGCTAGATGCTACAGTCACTCCCTGCCAGGTGCCTGATGCCCATTTCCATGGTTATGCCTTGTGGCAGAGTGGGGACCCCCACAACTGATCCAGTCAGATGGGCCTAGGATCCAAAACACTGAGTTTCTTCTGTACATGCAGGTTACCCACACTCCCAAGTGCTGACAGATCAAGTTCAGATCAAATCCCTTTTCCTTGCTCCGTTTCTCAATCTTAAATGTCATGAGAAAGGGTAGGGAGCATACAAGCAGTTTTTATGACATTGTGCTTATTTGGGGTAACATGGGGAATGCTAAATGAACTTAGGGTGGGGGCTGAAAAACTCCCAAGCCATCCCTTGGTACCACCCCTGCTGAGTTCCCTGGGCCTCCAATTGCAGGATGATGCCTTCAGTGTTACCCTGCCCCTCTCCTTTCCATCCCCACCTGTCCTGGCCCATCCACTGCCCTCTGTCATTGCCTACCCTGCCTGCTGCCAGCTGGACTTGGAAGGCAGGCCTCTTGCTGGTACCACTGTCTACTGTGCCCAGCATCTCACCAGCCCCGGCCTCTGCCATAGTGACATCGTCATGGTGACTATGGCATAACGAATAGAAAGCAGCAAACAGATTAGGGGAGGGAGGGCAGGCCATTCAGCTTCAGTGAAGTGGGAGAAACTACTCAGGGTGGAACAGAAGGTGCTTCAAGCTCTAAAAGCTGATTGGCAGAGGGGCTAGAGAGTGGGGACTCAGTCTTGCTGTGGTACCCTCACTCTGAAGTCCGTTGTCCTCAGGCCACACTCCGTGAATGGCTCCAAGCCCTGGGTTTCTCTGGGCAGCTCTTCAAGGAGTGGAGGGATTGTCCCTCAGGAACCAGTGGTAAATGGGGGAACGCAGGCATGGTCTTCCCACAGTGTCAACCAGGGGGAATCACCGCGATCTCATCATCTCACAGTTCCCCCTCACCCTTCTGAAGTTTTCCTCTCCTCCTATGCCTTCTCCCCTTTCTGTACTCAGAGAGAACTGTTCTATGAGGCAACAAGTGACACGGCAAGATGAGTGGGGACAGCTGCTTCTCACCACCCCAGCTGTTAGCCATAGCCTGGCCAAACACTTGGGAGTGCACCTGGCACTCCCTTGGAAGAAGAGGTGAGGATGAGGACACCTTGGAATGATGGAAGGAAGAGGGAGCCATCAGGTGGCAATCAGTCACCTCTTGCAGCAGGGCCCTTTGTCTTCATACTGGGAGGCCCGGCTTCTCCAGGGTTCCATAATGCCTGCTACCTTCAATGGTGCCCAGGGCACAGGGCTTGACCCAATCACTCTTGCTGCCCTCACAGACTCAGGCTGGTACCTAGCCAACCACAGCGCTGCAGAGGAGCTGTTGTGGGGCCGGGGGGAGAAATAAGGGAGAATTGCAGACTCATAGCTGCATCAGCTTGGGGGAAGTGAGAGAGGATGAAGGGATTCTGTGCTATAAAGTATAATTGAAGCTGTAAGCATAGCTGGCCCTGAGAGATTTGGGGGCTTCATTTGTTCTGAAGGGTCTTTTTCTTCCTGTCTCTCAAGCAGGATCTGGCCTGGAATTTGACCACCTGTGGGATTGGCACCTCAGACATCCTCTGTACTGGCAGGTGTGTGTGCTGAGGGGTTGGCTGCACAGCTGTCAGTGATCCTAGTGTCACTCTACCATCCCTCCCACACAGCGGACCGGGCTGCCACTACTGGCACCAGGACAAGGGACACTGCTCCTCAGACCCCATGCCGGAAGGCTGCTTTGTGTACAAGCCCTTGGCCAGTGGGGTGGGTAGACTAGAGATTGGGGAATGGAACCCAGTGGGCCGAGAGAAGTCAACATCTAAGACCAACACCCTTCTACCTCCTGCCCCGCCCTTCAGAGTGAATGCTGGAAGGAAAATGGATTCCCACGTGGGGCGGAGAATCCCCATGGGGAAATCTACCATTTCCAGAGTCGGTGCTTCCTTGCCAACCTCACTTCACAGCTGCTCCCTGAGGACAAGACCTGGCATCCCTCTCGGATCCCACATCTCAAGGAAGCAGAGCTCACTGGCGGCTGCTACTTACATCAATGCACAGAGAGGGGAGCACACAAGGGGCAGGTGGAGGGATCGCCCTGGGTCCCATGCCTTCCAGGAAAGGCTATTCAGGTGGGTTATCAGAAGTGGAATAGCTGTAGCACACTGGCAAAAGGTTTGGAAGTGCTGTTATGGTAGTACTATCCAAGGTATTTTGATGTTCATTCATTTTTTATTATCATTGAAGTATAATTGATTTACAATATTATATGTTTCACGTGTACAGTATTTTTATATATTCCATTTGAAGTTCTTATAAACTATTGGCTATATTCCTCATGCTGTACAATATATCCTTGTAGCTTATTTATTGGTGTTTATTCTTTTACTCAGTACCCCACTGAATCCATGGCTCTAGAATGTACATTTTTCCTCAGAAGGAGAGCTTGAGCAAGTAACTGAAGCTATAACTGTACCCTGCTACACATCTCCTTGCAGATACCTGGGTACCACGGTCTTCTCTTCTGTTCCCAGGGTCGGCTGCATCAGACTAATAAAGGTACTGATGCTATGACTTACTCACCTGTGAGTCTTTCAACCCAAGACCTGTTATTCCAGCTGTCTTTAGGATTGGCTGGGCCCCCAGGCCACTCTGAGGAAGGCAGAGCGAGAACTGACTGCAGCAGCACTACAGGCGCTGGTGAGCAGAGGAAGCCCTGGCACGTGAGGATTTGTGCAGTGGGCCAAGGGGAATGCTCAACCCTCTGAGGCCTTTTCATTCATTCCACTCCCAGGGATACTCTTCCAGGGACTGTATCTCCATTAAGAGATCCAAATGTCCACTTAGGTGCTCTTTCCACAGCCCTGTGATTGTCACTAGTCTGGTGTTTCTGTGGGTGTGTGTCTTTGGCTGCCAAGGGCACTCAGCTGGTATGATGCACAGGGCCCTGACCCCATCTCTCCAGAAGGAAAGTTCTAGAACTGTATTATAGAGGAGTCACCTTTACCACCAAATACAGCAGGTAAGATAGTATTTCAAGTTTTCTTTCAAACTCCCAGGTCCACATATTCTAAATTACATTGATTAAGCACTCATTCATATGTATACTGTCCTGTACAGGGTCAGTATTTCAGAAAACAAGGATTCTCGACTAACACCTGGGGCCTATCACTGTGAGATACCTCTTCAACAATAATGGAGTTCCTCCATCTTAGGATATAGGGATCCTTGCTCCCTTCTTTTCTTAAGCACTACTCAGGCAGCATGCCTAGCTACCTAAACACCATAGCCTAACTGTTCCCCTAAGCCATTTCCCTCACTACCAAGTTAGGTCTCCTTCCAACAATTTAAGATGCTAGAAATCTTGGATCTTGGTTTTATTCTTACTTCCTGATTTCCTGTTTAGCTTACTGTTTGGATGATTCTTCATGAGCTCTATGTATTAAAATAAAGGTAGGGCCCTTCACCTCCTGAGCCTTGGCATTATTCCAGGCCAAATACTCTATGACCTGGGCTTTTGGTTACCTTGAACCATAATCCCTCCATGGCCCATCTAAGTCTGCTGCTGGGGCTCTGCCGTATGTTGCTTATCCTGATGGGTGCCCTAGGAACTGTGGCCTATCAGAAACAAGCTACTCTTCAGGTGGGACCATCTGGCTCTTACCATTCACCAGAGCTCCAAAGCACAATAAGGGGCCACTTGAAGGAATAAAAGAGGTGTGATACTACCGAGAGCATGACATCAGAAATCATCTTAGGAGAAACTAGATGAAAAGTCGATCTATTGTCTACACTCAAGTCCTACTTTTCTCAGAATGCCTCTTTCTCTGTATATCAATGATACACTAGCTTTACAATGAAAGAAAAGGGAGAGATTTTTGGTTCTGAAAATTCATTCTTTATTTTGATAGAAAAAAAATAAAACCCTTCAACCTGTAAAAAGTGTCACTTGTTTTCACATTGTTGTAAAGCAAACTTACAGAATAGGAACATCTGCTACCAGTTCCAAGGATGTCACATATGCTTTAGAAAAGTCATTGCTATTTGGATTCAAACAAACATCAGCATGGAGGAAGGAGTAACTAACTAACTCCCTCCTGATTTTTTCCATAATTTTACTAAATCATCACTAGGAAAGCTAGCAGTTGGGATGTCACATAATTATGCCAAAATCTGGCAAAGGTGATGAAACCAGCCATCTGAATCCAGCTAAATTATAAAAACATGGCCTTTTATTGCCCTTCTCTCTTGTTTCTAGAGTAGGAGGGCTCCACTTTATATGCCCATGGGCCAGCAGTAGGCTTGAGTTATAATGTGTAGGTTCCTTTTTGTTATAGTTGCAAAAGAAGCCTTTAAATTCTTGAAAGTCTGACATCTTTTGAAAAGAAGCAAGCTAGGAAGCAGACTGCTGATCTGGATTTGCTCAGATGGAAAACATTTACACTAGGAGTCCAGTTGATATGCTGTTCCCATTGAAATCATCGGACCCGTACTGCGCAGCGAGTTTAGCCAGCTAATCAGGATCCCATCCCCAAACATTCAAGTGATACATCTGAAGTTCTCACAGTAGAGTTGTGGCCTTGGCTCCATCAGCTATGGTTTTCATCTTTGATTTTCATGTCTGTCAGTCTTTACCAGCTGTAGCAGCCACTGCTTGGTAAAACTTTGCCACGAAGTCTGGCTCACTGACCTCCAACTGCCTGATGAATTCATTGCGCTCCTGTTCAGCCCAACCTCGAAACCACTGATCCCAAAGACGCAGCTGGCACTCAAAGATACACGGTGGTCGGTTTGCTCCAGATACACTAAGCTGCTCCAGACCTTCCAGCAGTGGCTGTAATTTTCCTGGCACTGCCTTGGCTACCAGGTCCTGTAGGAAACGTTCACGCTGGGGACCTGACCAGCTAGCAAACCAGTGAAGAATACACTTCATCTCCTGGGAAGTGATGTAAGACATTGGGGGAGGGGAAGAGTCAGAAATATTGTCTGGTACTGAGGGTAAGGGAGAAGGAAGGATAGCGGCATCGAAGAGGAAGATGATTCCAGTGGCATCCTGAAACATGAAAGCACCGTTACATACTTCCTACATAGAGCAACCAAAATAACTTCCCAATAACAAGGAATCTTATCACAGTTACCATCTACAAAGAAAACTACTACTCACCAATTCAGTGTACAGAAAAACAACAGGGTCCTTTACTTAGATTATTATTCAACTACCTTAGAGAAGGCACCCAAGAATAACTTCATATTTACCAACCTTCCTCTCTCTTTTTCAAACCCATTACCCTCCCCAACCACTGCCTTCTTCCATCATTCTTATAACCTAAAAATAACCAAAACATTTCTTGTTCATTATTTCCCACCTAATTCTATATTTCAGGTTGAGCAAAGGAAAAAAACAACAAAAAATAAGATTAATACTGGTCCAATACATCTTCCCTAAAATGAAAAAAAGGTACACATTTTTTAATTGAGCCAAGTAGCTGGTTAGGGCCTAGATGCTGATCACTGCAGCGCTATCAACAGTGGGGAGGGAAAAAGTAAAGAAAAAACATCATTTATGATGAAAGAGGCTTCTCTGCAATATGCAGTCTCTGAAATATGCCAAGAACTTCCTAACTCCAATGTTTTCTTATATTCCCTATAAAGCACCAGGAAAAATTAAAGAGCACAGTGAGGGCACCTTGCCCCAAATAACACAGTAAGAAAAACATCCAAGTGTTTATTCAAAACTGAAAAAATAGTCTAGTTGGTTTGGTGGCTTAGGGATCTAACAGGTGTTATACTGCTGTAGATGTGTGACGACTCATGTCTAAATAATTTTCCTTCACGTTTAAAAGAATACCTACTGACGCTTTGCCACTGATTCGCATCACTAATGCAACTGGAAAGTCAACCAACTTGAATAGTTCGCAAACAGCACAGTATGAGTCTCTAACAACGAAAACCTTAACCTACTTGTATACGACCTATTTTACTGTTTTACTGTTTGTGTTCCTTCTGCTTTAAGTTGGACTATTTGTAGTGACAAAAAAAAAAGGATTCCCCAAAGCAATGAGCATCAGTTCAATACCAAAACAGTCCAGGGAGATTGTCTTTTTCACAGTGGCCCTACAAGAAGCAATTCTTCCTAAAGAAATTTTATTCTCTTATTCGGGGAAAGGGAGAACTTTTTCCGAGCGTTGCTACATGGCTTCGAGGGCAAATTCAAGTTCAACGATCATGAATTAGTTCACAGTCTGGGTCCAAAGACCCCGTGCTGTCACTTGCCCACTTCGGAGACCATAGAGGTCCACAGGCATTCCGAGGTCCCAAAGAGCAACGTAGCCTTAGATGGAGTGGCGGAGATTCGGAGGGTGGGAGGTGGCAGCTGTTTCCGTAAGGGAGCGGGAGGCTCCCTACTAAGGGTAGCCGGCAAAAACATAGTCTGACCCGGCCCAAAGAGGGACTTCTACCCCGCTTACCTCACCTTTCCTCTCACAGAGCACCCGGAGACCGTCACAAGAGTACTTATACTCCGACTATCGCCGCCGCTTCCATGTTTCCTGAAAACCCCGAGGAGGGCCAGCCGGGCAGCCCACGCACTTCCGGTCCCGGACCAGCCCCAAACACCCAAGCACCCCAGCGCCTCAGCCTCAGGTCCGGAGATGGCCGAATAACCCCGATTACGGTTATGCCGGAGTCGAGGGCTTCCGAATAGATTCGATTCAAAGACTCGGTAAGACGAAGATAACCGAGCTCTGAAAGCAGCATGAGGGAGGGGGACCAGCTGGGAGGATGGAAAGAACCGATTGGTGCCGATGTGGAGACGGAAGTACCCGAGCAGTTCCGGAGGAACCCGGGGAGTTCTGAGTGGTAATCGAGGGGTTGACTATGGCAGTGGGCGGGATCAGCTCGGTACGTTCGAAGGGCGTTGGCGGAAATTACCGAAGATGCCCGAAGCCGTCGGGACGGACCCGAGTACCTCACGCAAGATGGCGGAGCTGGAGGAGGTGACTCTGGACGGGAAGCCTCTTCAGGCGCTCCGGGTGACCGACCTGAAGGCCGCACTGGAGCAGCGAGGCCTAGCCAAGAGCGGGCAGAAGAGTGCCCTGGTCAAGCGGCTCAAAGGGGTGAGGAGACGGCGTTGCTGGGGTGTCGGAGGGGAGTAGACCCGGTAGAGCCGAGTCTCTGCCGCGGCGCAGGCGCAGTGTCCGGGCTCGGCGCGAGCTCGCTCAGGCCGCCAGCGCGAGCCTCCGGATCCGCGCGCACGGTGGTTGGCGAGGCTCGCGCTGGAATAGAGATAGCGCCGGTTCCCGCCTTAACGGCAGCGGCGCGAGCCCAAAATGGGAGGGTGCGCGCTACTCTCCTGGAGTGTCTTAAGCTCCTTCCTCCTTCCCCCACCCCCTCCTTGTTTGTGTCTGTGGTGTCGGCGCATGCGCTGCAGAAGGAGTTAAATCCCACTACAACCACCGGCGTTGCTGGCCTGAGGGGGGCGAGTTGGGCTGGGTCGGAGTTCGGGGTATAGTTGGGCGGAGGGGTTGATGGGGTTGGTATCGATAAACGAAAGAATAGAACTGGGGTGGGGTGAAAAAAAAAATGTCTGCTTGATTAGATCAGAAGGCGAGATGAAGAGAAACCTTGATTTGAAGGGGCTTGGTTAGGTAGGGGTGTATAATTTATAGAGCATCCAAAAGCAATTTGGGTGGGTAAGAGTTTGGTGAATACTGATAAGAGAAGCAAGGCAGGCTACTATATGTTGGGGGTTTTGAATCGGTTTGAGTAGATTAGAGTGGGATTGTCAAGAGGTAGATAGATGGATTGGTGTGTATAGGTTTGATGTAAACCGAGGGAAGGTGAGGATTTCTTGATTTTGAATAGGGTTAATTAGGGTATGTGGCGAGTAGTACAGATTCGGGCTAGGTTGGCTCAAGGGTTAACTTGGCAGACCGTTTCTTATACTGAAGCTGACAGTTTCTTGTGTGTGTGTGTGTGTGTGTATTGGATCAGACAACAGTTTATAGAGCCTGTGGTCATTTTGTTCTGTAGCCTCCTCTTTGAAATTTTTATAAATTTGGTACATCTAAGTGCCACTCTTTTGGAAACGATACAGATTCACTCAGGTAGACCTAGTCCTTGATAACTCACCAAATAGTTCAGTCATGCCAAAACCATGTTGGTTTCATGTATTTGAACCTAATGGAGTATTTGAAGTGAAGGGCCAGATTTAGAGGGGACACCAGTCAGAAATGCAGAAGATAATAGGGATTGTAGTACTGGTTTTGCCACTGTCGCTGATTTCATTGCATAGCCATGTCACTAATTTTCCCGATGTGTCTGTATTTTACATCTGTACATTTGGGAGCAGTAACCATGGCTACCTTTAAGGGTCTTCTGAAGATGAATGAGAATGCTATTAGTAAAGGGCTTTTAGGTCCCTGGAAAAGGAGTACAGTTTAAGTGTGTATGGTTAATCATTGCATTTGATGAAGAGATTGGGGGAGGGGTGGGGTGGGTTTTTTCCCCCACCCCCTGGTTTCTGACTTTTGCCCTTCTCTATACCAGGCTCTAATGCTAGAAAATTTACAGAAGCACTCAACACCCCATGCTGCATTCCAGCCAAACTCTCAGGTAAGAAAACAGGTTCATTAGATGGCGTGGGCTCTTTGGATGCATAGAGACTGGTAGGAAATGGTGTTGTGTATTTGATGCTTAATTTCTCACCAATATTTTCCTAAGTTCCCTGGGTTGGAAATGTTTTCATACTAGGACAATTGAATTCTAATGAAGAATTCAAGACAGGGAAGGTATAGCTCAGTGATAGAGTACATGTTCAGCATGCGTGAGGTTGTGGGTTCAAGCCCTAGTACCTCCATTACAGATAGGTAAATACCTAATTACCTCCCCCCACAAAAAATAAATACGTATATACGTACATACATTTTAAAAAGAAGAATTCACGGATCAGAGGAGCTGTTAGTTAATTTCTGGTAGTTGAAATGATGTGTGCAGAAAGTTGTGGTTCTGATTGATTAAGTGGAGTGCAAGGGTCTGAAGTTGTCTATTTGCCATTGATTTGGGAAAAGTAGTTGATGGCTTTGAGTGTAGATATGAAGTAGACTAGTCAACAGGGCAGTGTAGGAAAGTACTTGCTGATCAAGAAGAATTCTTGTGTTGACATAGATTTTCTAAAAATTCAGTTCTTTGGAAATCATCCACCATTACTAGTTAGTACTAAATTATGCAGTTGCTCCTAAACATCATTAATTGCTCTGTTACTTAGAGCAAGAAACTTAACCTTTGGAGGCCTTGGTCTCCTCAGTTTCCCTGTGTAAGGTGAAAAAGGGTTGGACTGGATCCATAGTTTTACAACTGCTCTGCTGGGGTTTGTGGAGCTGCTTTTGGAGGCTTCCTAGAGAAAATACCTTCTTCCCGAGTGAATAGGGGTTCACATTCCACTCTTAAACTAGATTAGATCTACTTCTGTCTGCTTCGTATATTGTTTCTGCATAAGATTTCTTTGGAAGAAATCATTCCCGGTTTAAAGAAAAACTAAAATTCTTACACTGCATGGTCTCTTAAGATTCTTTTTAGCGTTTAACATCCCCTCATTATAGTGTCATGCACTTAAAGGAAAAAATCCAGGTCTTTGTTAGTGCAATGCTGTGCAGCTCCAGTACTAGATGAAGTCCCAAGATACTGTGGAAAAACAAGAGAGCCTTCCTACTCCCTTGTTACTAGCTCATTAAGCTGAAAGTATCATAATCTAACTAGCTTACAGAGGTTTAGTTAAGTACTTTAACAAGCATGAGAAATTGCCTAAGTTAGTTTACCATTCTGTACCTTTTGCACATTACATTTTAGTCTTTGAAATTTTGCTTTTATTAATGTAGGGTTTTTGCAACAAATGCATATATTCTTAATGCTTGCAATCCACACTTCATCAGTGTGCACTGAGTACCAAGAGACTCATCTGTATTTTAGGTGAAAGTAAACATTTACCGTGCTTAGGAAAGATGCCTAATGATGTAGAAAGTATTTATTCAGATTTTTTTCTTTTTCTGAAATTC